CGTACTTAAGCCACACGCCGGTGAGTTAGTAGTTGGGTGGGTGACCACCAGCGAATCCTCACTGTTGTATGTTTTTTGCCTTTTTTGGCTACCAACTCCTGCATGTATAGTGTACGTAGTGTCCGGGTGGAAGAGCGCGATGGTGGTCGGACAAAGCAGACGGGACGATAGGAGGACCATGAATTAAGTGATAGGGATAGGAGAGAACCTTGGAACAAAGATGTCATAGCAGCTAAGTGTCTCTGTGAATTGCTAAACCCATACTGTCGAAACACGGCTCTTCCTTTCATCACATGGTATTTCCATCCTTGGAATCCCTCCAGAGTCTCTCGAAATTTTCCCAACCTCCGGGCGGCGCATCCCACATAGCCAACTCACGCACAATTGTCTCGTAGCATCCGTCGCTCGGCATGGTGCCCTGGCAGACATTTCCGCCAACAGCGATGTTGATGAGGATTCTGAACTCACTCATCTTTCTCGTTCCCGGCGGCTTCTCGGCTCTCATGATAGGCATTCCATCAATTAACCAGACCAAACGGCCTCCTCCTGTAGATTCATCCTCATCCCAAATAAAATCGTATCTCACGCCCGACGGCGAGGTGATATTAGGAATGGGGGTTTCGAGAACGCGATGTTTGTTCCAGTCCTCGCCGTTGAAATGACCCCAGTGTAGACAAGTGTGATTGACAGCGTCGCCGTTCCAAGCTTCCATGATATCCATTTCGCCATCCTCGGGCCATTTGAAGGGATCTTTAGGCAGCAGCCAAAAGGCGGGCCAGATACCGCGCGCCACCGGGGCCGTGATTCTGGCCGACAGGCATCCCCGTGATCGGTCAAGGGTTTGGTGACTGGACAGTCGAGCGCTGGTAAATTTCTGAGCAGGATCTGGATGCCCATGGTTGATCAGAGCGCGTAGAATCACGGCATCTCCCCAATGGAATGAGTTTTGCGGACTGTCGATATAATTTTGTGCCTCATTGTTGCCCCATCCATGTTGACCCTGCTCGTGGTAAAAATTGGAGGACACAGGGGCTTCAGGATGGAGATTGGGTCGCCAGTAGATTTGTGGCTGCGACTGTTGATAGCCTAGTGGTGGTTTGCTGGATGTTGGGATAGGCGGTGGGGCAGCCTGGGAGGCCTGGGGGGAGTTGTTGGTGAGCTCATCCCAAGCCTTGTCTGCTTTATCGAAAATTCCTTGGAGCGCCTGTCTGAATGGCATCTTGAGTACTCTGTATGATCGATGTTATGATTGCACAAGACAGGAACGTGGAGAAAGCAACTTCACCGCCCTACAGGGCTGGGCATCAATAAAAGTGACGTCATATTCCGTACATTGTACACGGCGATGATATGGCTATACCTAGTGCCTCTGAAACTTCCTCAGAGCTCCATGCCTGGAAAGGGGAAGGAGAATGAAAGACGAAATGCGATCTACCGAAAAAGTGCTAGAGGACTGGTTGTCATAACATGCCCTATCATCAGGTTAATTTCGGACATATTTTCTACCTTCTTTCCCCATCTCATCTGTTCGCCATCAAATGTTGATATTACAACTGATGGGATCAAGAGTCCAAAGAAAAGATTGATTGTGAATCTCCGAAAGAGATGCGAAGGAGGGAAAAGCAGAGAGAGAGGAGAGAGCGCGATGTATCTCTGCCCAGGTGGAGAACAGCCAGAGTCACCTGACCGGTGTTCACAACAAATGTAAGTCGGTACCTGTTATATACAGACTTGTCAGGGGAGGACCTGAATTGTGAGTATCTTGTATTCAAAAAATAAAGCAATGCATTCTATTAATCTACTTGAAAACGGGAGGTGCCCATTCCATCCTCGCCAAATGCATAATGGGAAAAACAAGCCAAGAAACCAAGAACGAAACAGAAAATCCCACTACACGCAGCTTCTCACTCTAGATATCTCTCTCGGTATCTTTTGATCTCTCGTCTTTTTTGTCGTGAGACATCTGCCGTGTGATCCGCTCTTTGTGGGTCCATAGATACCATATGGTTATGGTAATGGCTGCTAAGATGATTGTGGCAACAACAAATATCCAAAACTGCTTGGATATTCTCAGTTCTTCGGTGGTTCCGTCGTCGAACTTGAACAAATTCATACCGAAAACAGACTGTAATGCGCAAACAAAAGGTTAGTCTTTCAGAAGCCAATCCAGTTGATTTCAAACTTGGAAGATCAACGGCACTAGGTACTTACTGATACCAAGCTCGCAGGTAAATATATCAGCGTCAAGATGGTAACCACCTTGACTGTTGCATTGTCGTCAAAGTTTCTTGTCCCGAGCCGAAGCAACTGTTCATTGGAATACAGCATGCGATTGTTCAACTCGACCATTCGGTTGTTGAGATTCAGCATTTGGCTAGTCATCGTATAGTCCAGCCCTATAGTCGTCTTCTTTAAATCAGCAAATGACACGAAAGCTATATTAGAATAGTATTGAACTTGAGACTCACGATATGCCACGTATCCTTGACTGCTTCTTTCAGAACCTCTATCCCAACAACAAGCCCCTCGAGACGTCTTTGATGGTACGCCAAGAAATTGGCAAGTTTGAGATAACCATTCTGTCTGCCACTTTGACTCGAGTCCAGCGCGTGGCTTAATTTTCCAAGTGTCGTGAGAGTTTCCAATATTACTCCAATTCTGTGTGTAGTGGGTAGCAAACGATCGCGGGTATAGTGAATAGCCGTCAAGTTGCTGTCACCTCCGGCGGTAAGAACATGATCGATATTCCTCATGACAAAGTCAAGAGACTTATCAGTCTAGAAATGAAGATCAGTTGAGCAGAACAAATGAATAAAGGCATTTTGAAGGCTTACATGGCCATCCACGTCCCGGCCGAGATAGTGAATATACTCGTGCCAGTTCTTCAAACAAGAAGATAGGGCACCAGAATGCATTGAAAACCAGGTATGATCTGAGCTCAGTCCTTGCTGGTTCTCTGACGCATATCTCTCGAGTTCCTTTTGCATTGGAGTGTTAGCCCCGACGTGAAAAAAAATCCAGAGATTTTTCAGGCTATGAGGATCATGATGATGAAAAACAGCTATTTGGCGCATGGTCCAATGCCGAAGTCCAGCTAAGACTGGAAATGTGAGTCTGTAAGAAATTTCTAAAATATTTATTAGGTCGATCAATAGGTTTCGTTGTATTGAATTCACCAACCTTGTATAGCATTATCACGATTTTGAATTTTCATTGCCCCTTCTCCTACTGAGAAGCTCATGGGTTTGTCTCCAAAGGTTGACGTCAAGTCCCATAAGTCATCGCCGATCTCATAGCAATCCATAAGTGCTTGAAGAGCACACTTCGAAATTTGGAGAGGTTTGGTAGATGACTTGGAGTTGATTGAGCTGTTTGCGGGAAGTCAGAGCCAGCTAGAATATGTGTGTCTGCATGATTTCTATGTAAAACCTTACACAATTCGCAATTTGGGCATTGCCGTGGTTGAAACATGCTGTTCAAACGAACTATTCTCTGTAAATTTGAGAGTAGCAACACTATCTGGCGTAGAATCTATGAATAATTAGTTAACATATGTCTGTTGAGTATTAAGAAAGGGAAAAAAATAAAAAAAATAAAAAAACTAACCGTCGGTCTGACACATCCATATGCTAGCAGTATCATCGGGGGTACAAAATGTAGGATAAGTTGATGTTGTGGTCATTGCGGGCACAAGCTGTCCAAGGTTGGGAGTTGAGTGCGTTTCAAGGTAGTTTCGAAAGCGTGCTGGAGTAAGAAATAATTTTGGCAATTCAATCTCATTCAGATTAGTCCACACTTAAATACAACTCTCTGAAGGTATCCTTGGATCTTGACTTTTGTTTCTCAAACATATGATTGCTCCGAATCAGCCTATAGACACCGCAGCCTAGCCCTGGGGCACAGGTGTGAATTGCGCCCGACGTGAGACCAAGCCATCCATTTGCCATGAGGCTAAGCCGCCACGCCCTACCACCTGAGCATATCCAGAACGCCTTGGATATGTACAAGCTCTTAGCTCCATTCCACCCATTCATCTTCGCGCAGGTCCCTGTTTATTTTCAATATTAACAACCATTTCGACCGAAAGAAATGAATACCGAAGGAACCTTACGCGATTTCATCCTAATTCATATAGTCAGTCGCCAGAGAACCAAAAGAGATATAATTTTCCCGTTTTCTCAAGCTCACCTCTTTCACCTCTCGTGGCGCCTGGAAGCTGATACGCCCATCGGCCCGCTGCGGACGTTGGTTTAGTCTTTGCCCTGAGCTTCAATGTGAGAAGACCTGAGGATTGATATGCTTACTACAACATCAATTTTCCGCCCAAAAATTTCGAAGAGCTTGTTCTCGAGCGTTGTACGATTTATGTAACCACCTATTCCTTCTCTGATAACGGTCGAAACAAGAGGTTGTGAGCTGGACCGTTTGTAACTTGAGGACATTTTGGGTATTCTTGTGATGGACGAAGGATTTGAAACAAAAAGTCCAGTGCAACGTAAGTTTAGACATATATCTCAAGGAAAGCAAGACTGCAGCAAGCCAAAGAGACTGGTGAACGCTCTAAAGGAGCATGGAAGTACGGAGTGCTCCGTGGATTCTCCGGCAAAAGAGCCGCTTCGTAAATTGCCCCAAGAGCATGCCAAGGTTTTACGTATCATCTACCCTAGGAGGCTGTCACAAGACATCTTGCTTGTGCTAGTTCGATTTCGAAATGGGCCAGCCCCGGGCCTCGGGGTGTGGCTGAGATCTCCAAGCTCGGACAACCTATCCCTTTCCTCTTTTGAGGCTGAGATCAAACATGGGCTCTTCTTTTTTTCGCCACTGATCTGCATTTGTTTGTTAATCCCACGTGGCTGATGCGGATAGGCAGATTTCATGATATGCGCTTGTCCGTTATTGGCAGTTATAGAGAGAAAGACTCATCATTTCACCCGGGTTTTGAGAATCTTGGCGAGGGGAACACGGTAATATATAAGCAAATATCCCAGATTCGTCTTAGTATAGGTACTTGACACGTGATTGGTCTTGAAAAGAAATGAAGTGCATGAGAGATGTGGTGTGTCAGTTCCAATCCAAACGCTCTCTCACATTCATACTAAGACCGGGGTTGATGCGGGGAACCATGAACCCTACAGAAATTTCCGTCCAATGAGTTATGAAATGTAAAGCATCGTCAAAACTTTTCTTCATCTATACTCCGTACTCCCGGATAATTTGGAAACTGAGGTTGAGGTGGCATCCATGGGTAAATGAATGCTATTGGAGAAGATGTGAGGACATAGTGAAGCAAAACAAAACATTCCCTTCACATGCGCCTCGACCAAGCTGATTTCAATTTCGCCAGACTCCTTTCAGCCAATATGTAGGTAGGCTGACTTCTAGGCCTTGGCTTTGTTAAATTTCCTTTCCAAATTACCACGCGCCTTTTAAGTTGCCCTTTTGTGTGGACTTGGCAAAGGTCATTACACCTCATGGGTGCCGACCCAGGTTGGTCTGGCTAGTTCGGTTTATTTTCAGACAAGACACGAGGTAGGCTGTGTACCATATTTACTCAAGCGCTAGACTCTTACTACATTAGCACGGACTCGAGGACCTGCAGACGTTTTCAGCCGCGGAGCAGTCCCCTCAAGTCATATCGACCCACAGAGAGAGCTCGCAAGGTCGACCCTTCATAAATCTCACTCAAATATCAACTTTTTTCTTCTATTATTTTTGTTCTCTCTACCTGTAGCCCTAGCTGATGCGAAACATTCTGATTGGAGAAGCTGCAAAATGACTGCAAACAGGCGCCGTTCCAGTCACACCACGAGGTGATGTGTTCCACCAAAACCCATTGAAGGCAGCTTCTGATTTTCTTGCCCTTCTAGATTAGACTACCCACTCTTCAACCAACAAACCGAAAAATTAGAGACGGATGTCACCAGCTTTCACCAAACCGCGCAGCTTACAGATGTTGTCGATCTGGCAACACTCATTCGGGGCGCGAAGTTATCACGACAGCGATGGAATCAGAACAAAATCGGCCTCACCGATGCAGAAAAGGTTGCTATAGGCAAAGAGATCAAAGAGGTCTCGATACCATGGTTACAGAACAGGGGTCTTCTCGTCATCATCATGACCACGGCCTGTGCAGCAATCACACAGTATGTCGAGTGTCACACTCACAGACAGAGAATCAATTGACAATAGACACAGGGGATGGCAGCAATCTACCATCAATGGCAGTTCTCTTCTGAATTGGGAGGGGGAGCTTAACCTCAATCACGACAAGCATCAGTTGTTAATTGGATTCATCAACGCAGCTCCCTGGCTTTCGGGAAGTCTCATGTATGTCGCATATCTGAACGGCTCTGTTCATGCCAATCTAACCAAGGATATAGAGGTACCTGGCTAAGCGATCCACTGCAAGACCACTTTGGAAGACGGCCCGCCCTGTTTATAGCCGCAATCTTCTGCGTGGTTCTTGTGATAGGTATTTGGATCCCATAGAAGGTGTGGCATGGTGTCTAATTCAAAATCCAATCCAGGAACTGCTCATTGCCAGTCCCGGGCGACACTACTTGTGTGTCGCATATTGCTAGGCGTTGGGGTACGTGTGACTTCATTAATGTCTCATCTCCGATTCCCCATCCCATCTCACGTCATATTTTCCAATTAGATTGGATCGAAAGCTTCTATCGCGCCCATATTTGCCGCCGAAGCAGCCCCCGATAAGCATCGTGGCCAGGTTTTGATGTTGTGGCAACTATTTGATACATTGTATGTTCGAGTACTACTGGAGCTACTCGCAGGTTTAAGCTAATCATGGATTTTGATTTAGGGGGATATTTCTGGGCTTTGTCTCCGCTCTCATTGTGATGGACAGCTGGAGGGTTCTTCTCGCCACTGCGACAATCCCGGCAATTATACTTCTGTTTCTGGTATTTCTATGTCCCGAGTCGCCTCGTTATCTGATACAAAAAAACAAGTATGCCGATGCATATAAAAGCCTGCTCGAGCTCCGCGGAACGCCTGTTCAAGCTGCACGAGATCTTTACTACATTCATTCTCAACTGCAGACCGAGGCTATCACCAAATGGGATCCTCCGCACAGTTCCGAGGAGTCATTCTCGTGGCAACGAGGGGATGGATATGCCTATCAACAATGGATAAAGAGAGTCAATTTCTTCAAACGAATGAGATATCTTGCCACCGATCATCGAACTCGAAGAGCATGCGTTGTGGCTTTCATTGTGATGGCGTCTCAACAACTTTGTGGTGTAAGTTCTTTCCTGTACCTCTGTTTCTTCGAAAGTTGCTCAAACATCCCGAGAATGAACAGATTAATGCCTTGACATTCTACTCATCTTCTCTTTTCACCAAAGATGCATTTCTGAATTCGAAGACGGTGATCAAGTGGTACAATTTCAGTAAGTCGCTCCGATGAACACTTACCAAATTCTAAGGTTTCTCTTTAACTGATGCACATGAAGGCTTTGGACTAGCGAATTTTCTCTTCACGCTACCTGTGTTGGGATTTATAGACTCGCGAGGACGTCGACCTTTACTCCTTGTATCTTTTACAGGGATGCTTTTCAGTCTTATCGCCATCAGCGGCTTCTTCAAGATTGCAGACGAGAGCACTAGAGGAATTTTAATAGGAGTGTTCAGCATTGTGTTCTTTCTATTCTTCTACTCGGTTGGTGCCGGACCGATCCCTTTCACCTTGAGTGCAGAAGTTTTCCCTCTGTGCGTGCGCGGTAAGTTGATCAATCCTCCTTTCTGCGGTCAGCTCAGACTAACACATACCAGAGGTCGGAATGAGTTTCAGTGTTATGGTCAATTTTCTTGGTCTTGGGATCTTGGTGCTTTTTGTTCCTCAGTTAACCTCGGCATTCAACGGCCAGGCCAACCTTTTGTTTTTCTTCTCGTGAGACTTGGTTTCCTGTCCCTATTGCAGGCTTTGCTACATTACTAACAGCTTGACAGGGGTCTTAACCTCTTGGGACTTGTTTTGATTTTCCTTTTGGTTGGTGTATTCTGGCCTTCAAATTTGCGCGTTATGCTAATAGCACAGGTCCCCGAAACCAGGCAAACGAAACTGGAGGCTATGAACTCTATATGTAAGTGGCTTCCAGTGAAGCTATTCAAAACATGGCTCTTTACAAGGTTGCGCACTAATATTCTCGATAGTTGAGACAACGACAAAGGATAATATCGTGAGACACATGGGCTCTCTCTCTTGGAAGTCGTCAAGACAGGAGGACGAGGACGGAAATAGCAGCTCTGTGCAGGGTCAGGAACAATAGTTTAAGAATACCACTTGAAGAGAATGTTAGATATGTGATCCGGATCATATCCGTCAATTCCCAAAGCAATCTTGAAATTATGGATTGGATCTCCAAAGCTGATAGACATGGGTATAGAGCAAATGACTCAAAATCACCAAAATGATCCTAACTTCTGTGTAAAATCTATCTCCTCAACGATGGCTGCGCTGTTCTTGCTCTCCTGGCTTTGTCCTTCAATTCTCCATGGAGCCATGATGGTAAGTTGTAGTTGATGGGAAGTGTTGCTCTCGGGGTTGCTTTTGCATCAAGCAGTATGCGGGTAATCGTCTTGTTCTCCTCCATCAGAGCAACTTCCAATGGACTCATCTCAAGCGGAGTTCCAGCATCGAACTTTCTGTTCAAGTCTGCTCCACCGTCCAAAAGTGCGTGAAACTTCCTTGTCCACATAGGATCTATGTTTGGATATCCGTAAAAGTCTTGAAGCGCAAGCGTGAGGTGGTGCATTAACGGCGTCTCATAAGGTGTGGCTTCAGGTGCACCGGGCGGCAACTGATCGAATCCCATCTTTTTGTTGAAGGCCTTGATAACATCCTCCTTAGCACTGCTTTCATGTATTACTGCAAAATGTAAGCAGTTCCAATTATGCTCTCCTGTGCAAATTGTATAATCTGCTCCATGAGAAAGAAGTAGTGAAACCACATCAGCATGACCAAGAAAGGCCGCTTGCATGAGCGCCGTTCTTTCACTGGACAATTCGTTCAGAAAAGCGGCAAACTCGGGATTTGGAGGAGGGATAGAAGCATCAATCACGGCCTTCACTGTACTCGGGTTGCCTGTACGTACTGCAAGATGGAGTGGCGTGTCCCCTCCGGACGAGCAGGTTCGCACGTCCAGACTTTTTTGGTGGAAGGTTCGTTGGTGGTCGGAAAGCTTATTGATAACAGTAGCGTTTGCCAGATTAATGGCATATATTAAAGGACGCTCGCCATCGTGAAGACACTCTTCAACATCTATAGGCTGCGACAATATAATGTCGAGTTCTCGCATTCTGTTCTTCTCAATTGCATAAGCAAGATAGCCCGGTGCTATTAGCGTTATAAGTTAGCCAATGGAAAATATGCACTAACACGATTCCCATAAGTGGACTTACTCCAGCTTGCCATGCTTGGCTTTATAGGTTGCATTCCCTGACTAGTGTAAATGTTGATGGTTTGAAGATTGTGCAGTGCGCTCCGCACTTCACGTGCCGATGGGCGCCGTTCGAAATCTATCTGAAGCATCGATCGAAGAACCTGTTGCATTTCTTCTAAGAACCCAGGGTTGTAATTTTGCGGAGGCTGATTGTCAGGCTGCTCTTGTAGCTCTCCACCGGTACTTGAGATCTGGGGGCTAGCACTGTATCTGTTCGGAAGTTCGTAAATCCATGACTCGATGCTCGGATGCAAAGCGGGAGGCATTCCAACGTGGAAGCAGTCGTCTCGTCTGCCCCCGATCAACATTTCTTTTCGCTGCTTGTCAAGCTCTTGTAGACTCGCGGGATTCAGTCCCAAAGCAAAGACACGCGTGAGTATGCACCCAAATGACCAGATGTCACTTCTAAGCTGAACCTGGTCATCCGGCGCCTGGTACTCACCCATTCTTAAAGACGGTCTACGCATCGCGTGCGTATAGCCTGAGTCCCGTGTGCTGTCTTCTGACTGACGGAGATGTGCTACATGAGAGATACCGAAATCTGTGATTCTCCAGATCCCGGTTGATGATCCAGGGTGTTTGAAAACAAGGATGTTCTTCGGCTTGATATCCATATGGCACATTGCTTGGTCATGGAACTCCGGCCATTCACTCTCGAGATGAAGATGCTCATGCAAAAAGTGAATTGCAGCTGCAAACTTTCGGGTCTCATGGATGAGGTCTTTGAGGAGGCATTCAGTAGGTTCCATACTTTGATAGCCTTTGACCAAAAAGTCCTCCAGGTCCATATCTGCCCATGGCATGATGATGTTCCACTGATTGTGAATGCTGAAGATCGCTAGATAGGAGATTATTCGCTTGTGGGTGGATAGACTTTCTCGAAGGCTTTTCAACGCATTGACTTCAACGAAATGATTCGGCTTGTGAAAGGACTTTCGAGCAACAACGAGTTCGACCTAAAAGACAAGGAGATATGTAAGCGACCTGTTGAATCAATCCATCCCTGACACTCACCGGATGTGGGGCATCTGGTATACCGAGGTGGTCGCTCAAGTGACTCAGGATGATATGGTTGGGTGGTATCTTCTCCTTGGTGACCGTTCCAAAAACACCCTCCCGTAGTACATAATCATCCTGGTATAGTGGGATCCGACGCTCCGCCTCATATTCCGCGTGCTTGCGTCCTTTCAATACTTCTGGAAAATAGATCCACCTGAAATTCATGAATAGCTGCGCAAGTGGATCACCACCAAGAAAGGAATCCGCAGCCAGATGCTCCATTTTGAACTCGAGAGCATGTTTATCGCGGCGAAAGTCGGCCAGGGTATCGTCTGCTGGAAGAAACATTTCTCGGAATCTCGACCATCCTAGCCAGTCCAAAGGGACGATAGTCGCGAGGATCGAAATTGTACGCAGAAGAGTTTCCCGCACTGTGTTTATCTCGGAGGGCGTTAGACCAGGGTCATGCGTCCACAGAAACTGTTCCAGTTTCTCCCCCGCCCATATCTGTTGGACATCTTCATAAAGGACAAAGGATTTGGTCGGCGTATCTTTGTTGTATTTTGCGTCGGCTAGAGCTTTGCGGATGTCTTCTAAGCTCATCTGGTCGGCATGTATTCACAGCGCCACCAACTTTGGCTAAGGGGAGAAGGGTAAATGATCCTCGGTGCGGTGTCGCTGTTTCGGCCGAGGAAAGCAGTGCGCGGCGGGCAAATCTAGTGTCGAGTGGGGTAACTAAGAGGTAAAGTGAGAGACAAGAGATGTCAGCAGAGCGGAGGCATTTATATGGCAGAGCGGAATCAGCCTCATTTCCCGGTCGGCAAACGCCAAGCTGCAGAGTCCGATCATTTTATCGCGTAGCTGTATGGCAAATGCGGTATTGGGTGGTCCGTGTCATTTTCCCATTTCAAGAAACACCTGAGATCTTGCAGCTAAGCCTCCAAGTCTTGGTGGACAATGGAGCGGGGCCCCGCGTTTCCCCAGACTGCAGGTGAAAATGATTCTCTGTCCTACCCACACCAAGTTCAGCCATACACGAACTGGCAAATAACCCGATGTCCTGGGGTTTCCTCGGGAATTGCAGGCAATGAATTCTTTTCGCTCGCAGATACGATATTCTTTCGTTGTATTCCGACAAATGACGGACAGCGAGAGAGCGGTTATATCGAAGTTTATGAGCACCTCAATGATTATTGGGATCTTCAACCTCGGCATGATCACTCGTATTCCAGAATATGAATATGAATATCAAGTTGAACTAATGACCATGTGTTAAGCTTATGTGCATCTGAAAGAACAAAATCTCAGCTCTCGACAGTGTTGTGATTCGATGTCGGTTCAATATCAATGGATGTTTTGAATTGCGGCTCGATGGAACGGGGCGCAGTGGCCTCGCGGCCCGGGGGGTTGTACCGTGGGTGAAGTCCGGGTTTAAGGCCCGCAACCCCGCGAGTCTTAAGGTTAAATCGTATGCACTTAAAGGTTCAGAATCTCTTGCATCTAGCGTCAAGGACCGGATTTGATTTTTTGGACCCGCGAAAAAATACCGCTGCTGTATTTTTCTTTTTCTTTTGCTTTCTTGATCCTTTTTTGTTGTTCTTGTTGCCTCCTGAATAGCACTGGGAGCGGGTGGCCCCGGAACTCAATGTATTAATCTAAGGTTCTCGGTAAAGTTCTTCCTTTTCTCTTCAATTTACTCCGTAGTTCCAAGGTTAATAAATCATTTCAATTAATATATAATTCAAACAAAAGCGCAAATAAGCACATACGACCACAGGGTGTGGAAAACAGGGCTTCCCGTCCGCTCAGCCGTACTTAAGCCACACGCCGGTGAGTTAGTAGTTGGGTGGGTGACCACCAGCGAATCCTCACTGTTGTATGTTTTTTTTTGTTTTTGGCTCTTGGTCCCAAAGGTCTTTCCTCTACGCAAACGCAGCTAACGGCTTCGCTAGATTTCCGGTCTTCCACCCAGCTCCCACTGGTGGAGGCCTCGAAGGCCCTCAGCCTAGAGAATCTACATGGGTTTGAAAAAAATTGCTGCAAGCAAAGCGCACGTTGGACTGTTCATGCAGTCCTTTTTTGTTTTGTCTTGTTTATTTTTGTCGCGACACACACCAAGCCAGGGTGTACATAACCGTCAGATTCGTCGACGGTCAACGTATCTAACCCTCCGACAAATGGAGCTAGCCAACTTTCCTTCACCATGAGAACAAAGAGATTATCGGGGGAAAGCCTCGATTTTCACTTGAGGGCTATGGTCAATCTTCCAGCCTCGATTCAGTCACGTCGTCGGATCTCTTAGTACGCTGAGACCAGCGTTCCAAGGCCGGTATGGCAACACCCGCCCAAATGATAAAAACTCCAATCCAAGCAAGCCCAAACGCATACCCATGCGTTTCTTTGAACTTGGGCCCTTGGTCCGCTGGGAATATCTTCAGTTGGACGTTACCCATTGCACTGGGAACATGTAAGTAAAGCAAAGCCAAATGAGGGATAAAAGACAACTTACTAGCCAAGTGAGAACAGGAGCGAGCTGGCTAAAGCTCGGAGTTCCCTATTTCCACCGCAACAGGAGTTCAACCAAGCGCTGATGAGCGGGGCAATCCCTCCGTACGCACTCGCCAGAAAGAACATTGCCATCACAGCATGCTCATTTGCTGGCCACGCCGCCAGTACCGCATACGTAGTTAGCTGGATTGAGGCACAGACGCAGATCACAATTGACCTATTCCCAATAGCATCTGCCACACAGGCCGCGAGGAGCATCCATACAATTTCCTGAAAACAAATATCAGCTGTGCTCGGTCTTCATCAAACCCTATGATGCATCGTGGGAGTAGGTTAAAGTTGTACTGACCAGTCCGCTTATAACCGTCGGCAAGTTGTTTATTTGCTCAACGCTGTATCGAGGTCTTCCATCTATTGTCAAGGATTTGAGCCACAGTCTCATCCATGTGGATACTTGCTGTCCACAGCTAAGCTGCATGATTCTGCGGAAATAGATTAGACTTGCGCTATGGTTTTATGGATATTCAGTTCTCCGGACAAAGATGATACAGGCGCAGAAGTGTAAGAGCAGCCTTCTTCTTAACGAAAGCTTTGGAAGTGCTGGATTTTGTCAGTATGAGCGTGAATCTTGAGTATTGTCCTTCGCAAGTAGCAATAGTAGCTGGGTTCCTTTACTTACCCCCATGCCAATGGAAAGCAGTAGATTTGCCAACACGAAAGCAAACGCTTTACCATTGGTACCGACCATTTGACTTTTTGAGCATCGCGACCTTGCTCTGCCAGTCGGTCAATTGACATCTGTCGTTCGTTCTCCGTCATCCACCATATTTTGGTTGATTTTGGTTCCGCTGCGAAGTTCAAGTTAGTCTTGTGATCGATATTTCGATCGGGAGGGGCACCGGTACCTGGACATGTCAAAAGGCCCAAAATAGCGACAGGGATACCGAGGATGAAATCAAAGATAAAGAGCCATCTCCACGATGCTATACCAAGCCGGTCGTGCATATTTTGGTATCTAGAGCCGAATTGTTAATACGGGGTCGACAAATAGTAGTTCAATAAACCATCGGCCAACGTACAGCCCAGATTGAATGTAGCTTGAAAACATTGGTCCGGCGCCGGCAGATATCCCAAACAAGGCCATCCGCCGACTAATCTCGGACTTGCGATACCAGCTACCGATCTATTTCAAAGTAGAAAGTGTTAACAGATATTGTACCCCCACAGATGTAAGATGAGAGATTACTCACGATGTAATAAACTCCGGGAGTGGAAACAGATTCAAATAAGCCAGCGCAGAACCTAAATCATTGGAAATGAGCCTCAAACCGCTGTGGCGACTAGGCGTGGGGGTCGAATCAAGTACCGAAGCCCGTATATCGTTTCGACGTTCTTAGCGGCATAAATGCCTAGGACACAAATAGACCATAGCATTGTGCACAGAGGCAGCCAAAATCGAGGGCTGAAAAATGTTAAAGCCAACGTACTGAAAGGCGAGCCAATCATGATCCCCACACTGAAATATGTGCTCATGAGGTTCAACTCATTACTGTCTATTAGAAGAAGAATGCGTTAGCATATGTCTTTGAGCCGAATGATCTTCGCCGATGGAGTATTTGCTCCTTACACATCTTCAAATCTTCCTTCATGCCCGAGAAAAAAGCATTGTTCACATTGGAGGTATCCAAGGATTTGATGAAGCAAGTCTAAACGAGCCCTCGAGATTAGCATGTATGACCAGTAGGTTCTTGGAAACTCACCAGGCATGTGTAAGTTAATATGAAAACATCCAGCTTGAAAATAAGACGTTTCTCTTCCTTGCTAGTTCCTGGCTCATGCCATCTAAAAAAAGATCGGAAGGTTCGCTGCTGCTGGTTCGTAGTATCACAGTCGGATATGTCTCTGACTGGGGCCACGGTGGACACGGTGGCCGAAGATTTGGGGTTTTCCGCCATCGTTGGATGTTCTCGCAAATTAATCAAGCGCGTTCAACATTGGAAAGAGATGATAGGTAAAGACCAAGATACTTACTTTATGAAAGTCGGGAAGAAACATTGGAAGCAAACAGTGCTTCAGTCATCAAGTAGCATTGAGACGCAGTATGCCCTGTTAAGGAGAAATCTCCGTGAGTATTGGCATCATTGTGTGGAGGTTTAATCCCTCTTCGGCAGATTGGATGGTGTGGAAAAATTGAATCCAGAGTTGTGCAGTGAGTACCTTGATGATATTCCCTATCGGGGCCGCATCTCCGAAAATATGACTAGCCTCACGTGGAGACTTAATTTCATCTTGTCGCATCCATTGGTGCTGAAGAATCACTTTCAGAGAGCGGGAGTGAGGACCTTGAGGATCTGCCCTACAAGGCGACATGGCCGAAAGAGTGGACGGCATCATGTGGAGGCTTGACCTCATCTACCTAGGTACCCACGCTTATTCCTGTTGACAAATCAACATTCAGAGTGATATCGAAAAACTTCTTTCTCACAGCCTATAGCATCATGCCTTTTACTAAGAGCGGCTGCCTGGGCTGCAGGGATATCGATTACCCGCCAGGTATTCAACAACGCACCTGGGCGGAGCTCCACAATGTCTATCATATAGATGACCAGGATTTGCCTTGCGATCATGGTCCTCTCTATAATAGGACTCCCTTGGCCTCTGCGAATCTCGACTCGGCCATCGCGCTTTTTTTGTTTGCTCTACGGGAGCAAACGAAATTCGATGGTATCACTGCTAACAAATCTGTTCTAGATAACATGTGCAGAAACATCGTGAAAAATTTCCTCGCAGACATGGCACTTGCGACCCTTGCATCCACCTTGTTCGCCCCTGGACAGAACTTTGCATAAATGCTACTCCAGATGGTCACAAGAGCAGGACAAAGCGTGGGCTTGTATGATAGAGACTGGAGATGCCGAATTCAAAACCTCACGGGAATGAACAAATTAATATTCATCAATCTACCAACACTAAAATGAAAAGAGTATGTCTAAGCATTCAAAATCTCCACATCTTCCGCCCCAGGACCTTGCCATCCTGGAATCTTCGAATCAACGAGAATTTCGGGAAAGTAGTCTCCCGAGGGGGGTGGGGTCTGCGCAGTACCATCATCAGAAAGCGTAGGCAATGAATCCTGCGCCGGCGTGAAGAGCGAACTTCCAGTTTGAGGCGACGAAGATCGACTTTGGTTTCCGGAAGTGGATCGTGAACGTTCTTCTTGAATCATTCGTGGTGGACGTTGGACTTTGTTTTCAAAAGGAATCACGGGGTCTGAGGGAACACTGTCTTCTAGGCCTGGCATCTTTCCAAGACCTGTTTTCACCAGCTCAGAGATAGATCCGCCGCTCATGACCTTGAGGGTCGGGACATCGGCCTCCAGCTCTTTCAGGAACCAAGCGCGGATGTCAACAGCCACCAGGGAATCAACTCCTTGCTCGACTAGGGTCATTGAATCCTCAATAATCTCGTCAACGGCCCTGCGAAGAATGCGCTTGAGATAGCCAATGAATGCATCTCGAGTGACGGAGTAGGCTTCATCAGCGGTCTTTACCGACTGCAACTGAACGCGCACCCGGACAGCTGCTTCATGTGCTTGAACTTCGGAGTCGACATCCTTATTGAGAATAAAATGACTGAATTTCACGTCACGGCGGTGAGCTTCCGTCACTTGCAAGTCCCGACGGACATGATTGATGCCCATCACAACCTGGGAAGAAGAATCCTCTGCGTGACCAGGTCGTCCAGTAAGAATGGTCTCTGCAAAGAGAACTTGCAGGTCATGTTCACTGATGTTGATGTAACCGAGGGACTGGAAGTAATCGAAATCGAACGTCTCGGAGTGAGCAGCATATCCCACGCCGAGAACCGCAGGAATGTTCATTGTCGATCCAGCCACGCCACGCTTGCGTCTTTTGTTTACTAGTGACGTCATAAACTCATTAGCGGCCGAGTAGTTACTTTGTCCACTCCAACCGATGACCGACGAGATACTGGAGGCGACGATGAAGAATTCGAGATCGGCTTTATGGAAAGCCTCATCAAGTAGTTGCGTTCCCAAAACCTTGGGCTTCGTCACCCGGGAGAATTGCTCGAAGGACATGTTCGCAAACAGTTCATCGCTCAGAACCATGGCACCATTTATAACACCAGCGATGGGCGGAAGTGCTGCGGCCATCGAAGCAAGCACGGACTGCAGCGATTCCGGAGAGGTGATGTCCAATGGAACTGCTTTGACAACGGCTTCGTATCGAGCATACATGTCATCAACAAAGCTAGTGTTGACTGTAGGTCTGCGGCTTGTGAGAACGATGAAGCGGGCTCCATGGGCGATCATCCACCCGGCGAGTGATTGGCCAAGCTCGCCAGTCATGCCGACAAAGAGATAGGATCGGTCGCTTCTGAAGATTGGCTGGGAGTCGATGGGCTGTACCATGGCCAGCACAGACTGAGAGTTCGTCCAGTCTACCACAGCCAAGGTCTCCCCAATTGCTTTGTGTGAGGTAACATCAGTCAGGTCAACCCCGTCAACCGACGGAAGGCCAAGAGTATCGTTAGAAAATGATTCCTTGAGTAAGTTTGCCAAATCGCCTAAGGGTGACAGTGTATCAACCTTGTGACTGACCAACATCTCCTCAGTGATCTCGAGACAAGATGAAGACAGACTTTCCACAACCAAATCACGCACAGCATCAGAGGCCACGCCGCGCGAGAAGTGCACAAACACAGAGCAGTTTTGCACCAATGATTGAACAACACGAACTGGCGAGCCGGGGTCGAGGTATACACATTGATTGGTTTGGCCGTTGGCAGCGTTGGACGTAACGCAAACGACATGGATGTTTTTTGCAGAGGCTTTCGCGCAAATTGCCGTCTGAACGATGAGATCGGGCTCGTTGATTATCAGCGTACTTCCTCGCGAGGTGAGAGACAAAAGACGGTCAGCGATAAGCTGAGCGCCCACAGCCACGATCTTAGAAGAGATCATAGATGTACAGACGGAGATGCACAGGTCTTCTGGAACCTGAACATCAGACTGGCTTGAATCAGTCAGAGCCAAAACATGTTGCTGGGTTGCCAAATCAACACCAGCGCACACACGAACAAAGCCTCCAGCTCCGACAGCGACGCTTTGCAAAAGGGAGTGGGTGATGCGAATCGTACGCGTTGCTATTATCGGCGAGTCGGTCACAGCTAAAGGTGAGACGCGACGAAGCTCAATAGACTGCTCGTTACCATATCCGACGCCAACCAATTCGACGTTTTCATTGGAGAGATTAGCGGGAGTCAGGATATTGCGTCGCTGGGAGTTGTATCTGTCATTCTTTTCGCGGTCGGGAACAATGCGAGAGAACAGCTGACGTCCGTTCTGAATATAAATATCGGGTTCCAGTGACCAGAGCATGGAATCGGTACCCCAGTTAGTCAGAGCCACTTGGCGGAGGACAGTTGCCGAGAGATCAGCTGCCGTACTCGAATGAATTCCATTTTGCACGGAGGAGTCCAGGTCATACGTCAAGATGTTCAACCCAGGACTCTCTGTACGGATGGTGCGGGCAATGCCAGTCATCATGGAGCTGTAAGGCTGATCATCACGGGAGCCACATGTCACCCAAACCAATACACCGGCATTTGTGCACGTCTTGAGACTGTCAAGTTTGTCGGCTGTTAGACCTTCCAGGTATGGTCGGTCAAGATCCGCAAGAGACAGAACTGTGAGTCCTCTGGACCCCTCAGTCATTTTGGCCAAGTCGGATTTAGCAAATTCCTCAACGGTGTTGAACAGCCGCTTAGATTGGAAGCGATGACCCATGGTCTCGTAGACTTCCTGGCTGAGTTTGTAAACCGGCCATGTCGTTCCACCGATGATTGCTAGGACGTCGGTTCGAATTCCAGCAGGATGAACTTGGACAGAAAGAGGGTTGCGCAGCAATGACACGTGATCATCCACTGCTTGAGCCACGAAGACGCTCATGGGCAAAGAGGCGCTAATGTCGGGACTAACGGTGTCGATTCCGGCAAATCCCGTGTTTTTGAGGACACTGTCCCACTGCCCCAGTGTAAACAACGGACCCCAAGGGCGACCCGTTTCAGCTCCAATCCACCAACCAGGGAGTGTGCCGACGGTCATTCCACTGAACAAAAGATCTGTGGAAGTCAACTCGGCCGTTACAAGGAAGCCACCGGGCTTCAATAGCCGTCGGACGTTCGAGAGAGATGCCTCAATATCAGCAGACACGTGCAGCACATTCACAGCGACAACTACATCATAAGACGCGTCCGAGAATCCCTGGGTTCCAGGTTCTTTCTCCATATCGAAAGTCTTGAACGTCATCCGATGGGCATTTTGTTGACCGAATCGCTCTTCGGCCGCCATGAAAAATCCGCTCGAAATGTCAGTGAAAGTGTACGATGCATAACGGCCTTCCAGGGCATCCAAAACCGCAGAGGTAGTGGCTCCGGTACCCGCGCCAACTTCGAAAATATTTACGCCGGGGTGAATTTTCGAAATTTGAGCGAGAACTCGAGCGAGCCAGCGACCGGTCGGACCAGAGCAGATTGCGCCTTCTTCGTAGAAAGCACGAAGAAGTCCATCTTGGTTCATATGCTCCAGCATTGAGTTGCCGGCATTGATGGTTTGAATCAGGTTATCACCGACAACCTGAACGAAACGGACATCTTTTCGATCGGAATAACAAGAGAGAATCTCTTCGATGTCGGAGCGGCTATCATGGTTGCATGAAGCAGACACCTTGTTGTGGCCACCACTGCCGACCATGCCGACCATGCGGTCGCACCAAGCCAGGTATCTCTGGTAATGTGGCAGAAGACCGCTGCGGTCTTTGGTAGGGATTGAAAGTGACGCGTTGCGGAGGAACCAGTACGACACTCTGTCGACGTCCTTGTAAAGCTGCACTTCATAGTCGGTCAATGTCTCCCCGGCCCCAGCAAGCTGTCCATCAGGCACAGCGATTGCGTAGTCAAAACGAGAAAACATAGGCATGTCATTCTTGGGCATGGCAGGTGCAAAGGGAACAAGCTTCACGCCTTCGAATTGAACGAACGCATATTTCGAATCATCCGCATAGAGATAAACATCTCCAGTGACGCCTGCTGTTGACTGTTGACGAACAGAAGATTCGTATTCCATGGTGGCTTGTTTGCCAGCATCACCGAGAGATGTAAAGTATGGGTTGATAGTGATACTGGACACTGAAACCGGAACGTGTAGAGACCACAACTGGGTATCGCCCGGGTAGGCCCAGGCCGCAAACACAGATTGAAGTGCTGAATCCAGGAGCCCCGGGTGGAGAACAAGGCCATCATCTTCGGACTGATCGGAGAGTGTACCCACGCTGTACCCGGGTTTGCGACGGATATCTGAAACGCCACGGAAAGGGTGGGCGTAATTGTATCCCACACGAGTCAGACTCTCATAGAATTGGTCTTCATCAACAGGAACCAGATTGTAAGGTTCTGCCCTGGAAATGGGCAGTGTATCAGCCCTTGCAGAGTTCATTACCACCAATGCGCCTCCCTTGGCATTTAATAGAATGGTTCCATCTCTCGCCGCGGAGTAACACGCCCAGTCAGCCGTCATTTTGGCGTCTGAGAAGGCCACTGATGATACACTGAATATTGTTTCCACACTCATATCGTCGTCATCAAATGCGATCGCGCGTGGAATATCCAGATCGATAAGTTTCATCAGTGAAAGTGCAGCTCCAGGTCGCAGCTCAAACGCAATGTTTTTTAAAGCCTCGAGGGCCATTGAAGCATACCCAGTGGCCGGGAAGACGGTTTGACCCTGCAGTGCGTGGCCACTCAACCAAGGCATTTCGCTTTGTTGCAAGATATTCCGCCACTGGAATTCCCCTGGGGTTGTCGCCTCCACACAAGGAGATCCGAGAACTGCATTTGAAACATGAGCCGGATTCCTGTGCTTGAAGTGGTTTGCGAGGCGACTATCAGTCCAGTAGTCGGTTTGGTGAGTAAAGGGATACGGAGGTAGGTCTCTCAGGACAAGTGGTTCCTGGCCATTGACAGACAACAGTTTTTCCACCGCAGAGAACTGCACACTTTTCGAACCACATTGCTTCCAGACGAAGCCAAGTGCATTCCCAATTTCGGCGACATCGTTCTGACCGCGAGCCAAAACACCGGTATACGGCGTGGTTGTCTCTCCATTGATAGTAGCAGTAGCGGGGCCTTTGAGAGCAGGATGAGGACCGACCTCAATGACAATATCGAAAGAGCCGTTGTTTCTGACTGCCTCCGTCAAGGCATCAGCAAAAAGAACAGTCTGGCACATATTGTCAACCCAATACTGGTTCGTCACACGAGATTGATCCATGACCTCCCCGTTGTAAACACTTGAATACCATATGGTTGGTGCATCTGTTGATTGCGACAACGGTTGTATGTCGCATTTTTGAAGCGAGTTGTAGTATGAGTCGGCGCAGGGAGTCATATGAGCACTGTGGTAGGCAGTGTCTACTTTCAGTTTGCGAGCAAACATGCCCTTCCCCTTTAAAAGGCTTTCAGCTGCGTCAATGGCATCTTCATCTCCACTGATCGTGACACTGAAGCTGGAATTAATTGCTGCAAGTTGCAGCCGCCCCTGGAAATTATTGGCACAAATCTCCCGGGCCGCATCTGGGGACTCGGCGACTGCCATCATAGCTCCGCGGGGAGCATCGGGGCTGGGACTGGCAGCTAGTTTGGCATGCACACCACGGAAGTATGCTATTCTGATCGCATCCTTGGCAGAAAGAAAACCAGCAGCATAAGCAGCTCCAATCTCACCCGATGAGTGACCAACTACCGCTGTAAATTTGATGCCGGCTGCTCGAAGGATGTCAACTAGGAGAATCTGCACAGCCGAGCACAGGGGTTGCGACAGAGCTGCTTCCGCAAGCCGAGAATTTTCTTTCGATGCGAGAAGCTCGTCGCGAATTTTCCAACTGGGTCGGTCTTCAGCGGAAGTAATGCTTTGGAGAGCTTCGTCCAACTCGGCAATGCGCGACGCAGCAAACGGAGACGACTCGATAAGGCGAGCTCCCATTCGCGGCCATTGTGCGCCTTGGCCAGTGAATATCCCCAACAGATTTGCGGGGCCGTTGAGGCTTTTGAATCGAGTGTTCATATCTTCGGTTTCTGAATCGGTGCGACTCAAAGCTTCGAGTGCAACAATTGCATCCTGGACTGTTGGAGCAAAGACGTCCTTGCGGTATGGCAATGTTGAGCGACGGTCTTGCAGAGTGTAGGCAACGTCTCGAATCGGAACATCTGGGTGATCCTTGAAATATTCGAGATGATCAGAAAGCATTTGCCGCAGCGCCAATTCCGAGGCCGCTGAGAAGACGAGGGGAGCAAAAATCTCATTGACCGACGTGACCATTTCACGGGTTTGGGTGTATTCTTCCAGAATGCAGTGAGCATTTGTGCCACCGAAGCCGAAGCTGAAAAGGGAAAAGATGTTAGTAGAATATTTAATTAATTTCAAAGCCAGGCACTAACCTATTCACGCTTGCTCTTCGCGTCTGGCCTTGGACAATAGCCCAGGGGGTTGGAGATGTAGGTATCTTCAAGTGATTGAAGAAAGGTGCGACGCGATCACTCAAATTCTTGAAGTGCATATTCGGTGGAATGATACCATTTTGCATGGCAAGTGATGTGCTGATAACACTGGCGAGGCCGGCTGTACTCTCCGTATGACCGATGACCGTCTTGATTGAGCCGACGAACAAAGTCTCCGCATCCTGGGCGGCAGGAGATCCGACAGGGAAGAGAGAATTCGAGATAGCCTCTGCTTCTTGTGGATCACCGGCTTGGGTACCAGTGCCATGGGCATGGAAGAATTGGGGTCTGTCTTGCAAATTGTTGATGGGATCGAGTCCAGCGCGGGAATAGCAGTCGCGAATCAAGGCAGTCTGCGCCACGTTGCTGGGCACCGTGAGGCCAGAGGTCTTCCCATCCTGGTTGACGGCAACTTCACGAATAACGCACTCGATCGGATCGTTGTCGGCAAGTGCCTGGGAAAGTGTTTTTACGATCACGGCAGCCACTCCCTCGCCACGAGCATATCCATCGGCTGCGGTATCCCACATAGCACAACGGCCGTTGGGGGAAAGCATACCGAGGTTACTTTCTGAAATGTACATTGCTGGCAGGCTTAGTTCATTGTCGATCGTTTAGGGTTCGTGCAATACTCACCAGGGCTCAAAATCAAGTTCGTACCCGCTGCGACGGCAACCTTGGATTTGCCGCTGCGCACGATTTGCACAGCCAGATCCAAAGCAACCAGACTACTCGAGCACGCAGTGTCAAGAGTCATGCTCGGGCCATGCCAATCAAAGAAGTACGAGACGCGGTTTGCCATAATACCCCGTTCCAAACCCGTGGCCGTGTATCGCGGTAGGGTCTCCCAGTCACGGGTGACCATGGTGTTCCAGTCATCGGACATCATACCAACGTAGATGGCAGTATTAGATCCTCTTAGGTTCTCCATGGGTTGGCCTGCGGCACAAAGACTGTCATACACAACCTCCATAAGGACCCGTTGCTGTGGGTCCATCGCGTCAACCTCGCTTGGTTGAATATTGAAGAACCCAGCATCGAACTTGGTAATACTTGTTCGTTCTGCCTCCTCCAGCCAGTATGACTGGGTGGCGTTTGTGGTTCCATGATGGGCGCCAACTGGGTGGTAGAACGGATCGATGTTGAAGCGCGATGCTGGCGGTTTGCTTGACAGGTCACGTGGGTCCTTGATCAGCTCCCACAGCTTGCTGGGCGTGTCCGATCCTCCTGGAAACCGACAACCTGTCCCAATGATAGCAATTGGCTCAACCATGATTCCAAAGAATGTATATCCTCGTGTTGAATAGAGGGTGGAGGGTTATACCGAAAAGTTCGTTCTCTTGTTCCAAGGTTTGGAGATATATAGTTCAAGGGTTGCGAGGTTGAAGACTTGGCAGTGGTGATCAGTGTCGTGCCTGAGAGTACGATTTCATTAGCTGATTTGCAATTCACGCTGGAGAGGGTACCTTGCGTGTCTTTTATCATGACATGGTGTGAAATCAGGCCCCGGATGAAAGTTGGAGCACGCGAAAGCCAGGCGGATTGTCAGCGAATGATCGGAATTCTCCACCAGATTTGGAAGGCCGATGGAATGCAGGGTCCAATCCATTCGGAGGATTTTTTCCCTCCAAGAGACCGCCATGTGGGTTGTGGTTTTTTTTTCTTGCGAGGTGTAGCTGGGTGGGAATCAGAGGAATGCTGTTTCGAGAGATGAGCCCGTTAGTCGATTCAAATCCTGCAGTCAGCCGGTGCAACACATGCTGAGATTGGAACTTGACGAGACCGATCACACCAAAACGGACACGGCCTTTCAGCCTGAAACTGTGTATCCCTCCGGTGGGGGCCTAAGTGGACCAGCGACAGAAAAAGACGCAGCCCCCAAGGCTCGAAATGGTAAAAGAATGTACTGGCTGGAGTGATGTCTTGGGATTAACACAGAGAGTGGTGAGATCCCCGCGCGTACGAAGAGCGCAAGGCACTCCCTCGATACTAGTGAATTGAAGCCAAGTAGAACCAGTATAGATCGTAGTGAAGATCAAAACAAGGTTTTATTTTGTTAAGTGTCCAATGTTATTTCAAAAGCGCGCTATCTTCTAGACTAAGGCATGGACATCCATTCACTAGGCCCCCTTTCCATGCTGTTCATGTTCATTGCAAAGTTCGGGGCTGGCGGAAAGTTTTGGCTCGGCTGCCCTGGGGGCGTGAAGCTGCTAAGAGAGCTATTCATCATGAAGTAGTCGGCTATAGTTTGGTTAGAAGAAAATAAAGACGCTAGGGAGGACCTCTCACGATCAAATAAGCTCATATAATCCGATGATACTGTAGCATCGTCGCCTGGAAGAGAGCCTGTGGCCTCATGATCGTCAAACGGAGCACCGTTGAGCGGAAAGTGGCCACCGGAGTGCGCAATGGCTTGTGTGAGTGCAAGATTATGCCTTCGCCCATCATCTGCCCTGGCCAGAACGAAGCTGACAGTCTCGGCCGCTTTCTTAGCTTCTTTGGAACTCTCGCTCCGTCTCATCCAAATTGCCCTGCATCGTTGAAGCGCTGCACGAATGTCTTGTTCGCGCTCCAATGTCTGTCCTCGATGAAGCATGGAGCATAGAATCATCGTGGCGGTAAGGAACTGATGATTCATGATGGACGTGACGCGGAACCGCATGGTATAAAGTTGACCCCCTGGGCAAGTTTCCTCGTCTAGAATATGTTGGATCTCAAGTGTACCAAGGGAAGCTTCCAAGCAGACCTTACGCGAGTAAGAGGTCGCTTGATCATCGGAATTGTCCGACTTGGGGTAGAAGAACCTCTTGTGAAGGACAACCTGTCCCTTGTAGATCATATGATATAGGAATAACCGGGCCATAATGATCTGTGGTGCGTCAGTCATACTTGTTGCCATGGACTTGAGCTTTAATGGTGGGGGGATGCTAGCTGCCGCCTCTTCGATCATGGAATCAACATGCATGACATCGGCATATGTACATGGCCTGACTGCGTCAGTCAGATCTATCACGGCCCCAAGTGCCGCGAGAATCCGCCTTCGGGCGATGATTCCAAGGGAGTTTGTATACTCAGTGAGGGGACGTGAGAGAGGCAACTCAGTGGATTGTTCGTCGAAATCCGTGTCATTCAAGTTTCGTGGCTCGGAAGTATCCCATTTGCTGTCGGAGATCATTCGCGGCATGCCCATTTGATTGGAGATCAGTATGTCACCCATTAGAACTGTTGCCCAAAGTCGACGACGCATTTCGCCTTGAAAGGGTGAGATCCCGGCGAAGTGACTTGGGTCACGGTGATAGCCCATTCGCATCGCCAAATTGACCTCCAGAGCCAGTAGGAACCAGATGTCCTTATCGGCATCGGTTCGAATGCAAAATTCCGCATATGTGTAATTTATGACCGTCTCCAAAACATATGGCCCTGACCTTGTATATTCCCCTAGTGTCAAGCACTGCACGATCTTCTCGCGATAGAGATCGACTTGGAGCGATATATCCTCGGGATTAGGTTCAGATGGGACCTCGGAGGTAAGGCATGCCAGACAAATCATGCTGAAGAGAAGACCAATCCACATAATAGGCGTGCCCGACTGATTTCCCCAGAATGCCTCATACTGCTCCAGTTAGCAAATTGATCCATGGGATGTTTGATGAACTTACCTCACGTAGAAAACTTGGGCCATGCACCGCAGCTAGGATAGGATCAGTGGCTAGTACCAACGAGATCCATATAAGGGACGTAAGACGTACAAGAGGAAACTAGGTCGAGGTAGTTGAAATAACGAGCAACATATCGATCTACAGCAGATCTCGGAGGCAACGCTGCCAGAATCTCTTCCTTTGAGCCTAACCGGCGCCCTCCATACAGCAGAAGCGCATATCCCGACCGAGGGCGGGCCAAGCGATTTCCGTGCTCATCAAGGTCAAGATCCGACGGGGTGCTTGCGAGGCTGAACTGCTCATCATGATCGAGATGGTCTTTGAGATCCGCGATTCCATCGAGGATAGTCGCCCAATGATGATTCCCAACGTAGTGAAAGTCTGAATCGCTGATTTGCATACTACCACACTCCGAGCGACCATCCACAGCATCGCCAGCTATATCACTGGGTGGTGGATTTGGGATTCTTGATGAACCTGAGACTTCGGAGCCTGGGGGAGGATGTGCTTGTGCCTTGTTCGCCGAGTCGGTCATCAGCGAAACGACCAAGCGCTCTAACTGAGCCAAACGGTCATATACGACAGGCGCTGTCCCGGACGACGCCTTTGAAGAACCCATGAGCCCTGAGTTATCCACGTAGGTACATATCTGGCCACGGCTAGAGCAGGAGGAACATGGCTGTTGACGGTCACATCGTGATCTGCAGGAATGTGAGTATGTGGAGCCACGCATCCGCACATTAGACTTGGCTCATACTTGCGACGTCGGCAGGCGTTACACGAGAGCTGGGGCTTGTCTCTTAATCGACTGACTTTCGGCCGAGGATGTGATAGCTGCGATGGCTGTAATGGATGTGATGGTTGCGACAACTGCGACGGCTGCGAGGACTGGGATGACTGTGATGGCTGTGGTAAATGGCCCTGGCTCTCTAGGTCCATTTTGCGGCTGTAGGGCTGGGAGGACAGACGCCGGAGGAGGATCGGCGGGGCTCAGGGACGCGTGACCACGACCCACACGTGACCCCATCCCCCGATCCTCCGACGGCCCCACCCAGACCCACAGAGGCTCCGCGGGAGATCTGCCGATCCACACGGAGGATCGGAGGATCGGAGGATGTGGCGGACAGCCTAACGGACGGTGACCGGAGAGTTCGCGGCGGACGACCGACTTAGGAGTACCCAGAGGGATTGTCTGATACCAGAATTTGCTTTAAATCACGCGCAAATGGTTGGCCAGAATACTCTATCGTCTCCTTCAACATCTTCTTCTCGACGCAGTCAGCAATGTCTTCCACGCCAAGCTCTTCGAATACTACTCCGGGGAAATTGGAGTCTGCCGCACTCTCAGAAAAACTGGTTGATGCTAATCTCGTTGATTGGGATGGCGACGATGACCCCGAGCACCCCCGTAATTGGTCAACACGGACCAAATGGGCCAATATTTTGATCATATCGATATTGGCGTTGATCACGTATGTTTTGAGTCCTTGCATAGATACGAAGAGAGAAAAACTAATCATGCTATTTTCTCGTATAGGAATATGGCTCCTACAATGTGTGCGCCCGGGGTGGCCGAGATTGCTGCCGACCTCCACATCACATCGACGGTGGTCAGCACACTGGCCATCACGCTGTATGTTCTGGGAATCTCCATAGGTCCGATGTTCACCTCTTCACTCAGTGAGATCTACGGACGGGTACCTGTCTATCATGGAACTTCATTCGTTTTTGTTATATTCATCATTGGTGGCGCCTTGAGCCAGACCACTGCCCAATACATGGTCTTCCGGTTCATATCAGGATGCGCTGGTGGCACCCCGATGGCACTAGGCGGAGGCAGCATTGCCGATCTTACCACAATTCAGGAACGAGCCATGGCAATGGCTTTGTTTAGTCTTGGACCACTAGCAGGACCAGTAAGTCTCGGCATTCTTTTCCCCACTCCCGGCATCTAGCCCGCTTTTGGGTCGTGTTCAAGACTGTACTAACGGCGGTGTGCTTAGGTCCTTGGCCCAGTCATTGGAGGCTTTGTTGCAGCTGGTAAAGGCTGGCGCTGGACCTTCTGGCTTCTAGCCATTCTCGGAGGCGCGTTTGGCATTGCTAGCGTCGCCCTGATGCGGGAAACACACCCCAAAATCCTTCTCCGCCGAAAGGCCGATCGCCTCCGCGCCACTACCGGCAACCCGGATCTACGCTCCAAGCTGGAAAGCACTCTATCCCCTCGTCAGGTTGTGTTGCAAGTGCTTGTCCGCCCCCTCATGCTTCTGGTGCGATCGCCCATCTTATTGGTCATTTCGCTCTACGTGGCGCTAGTCTTTGGTGTCATGTACCTGCTCTTTACCACGTTCACCGGTGTTTTCGAGGGGCAATATGGCTTTTCCACGGCTACCTCTGGGCTTACCTACCTCGGCCTTGGTGTGGCGCTCGTGTTCAGCATGTTCATTTTCAACATGTTCAATGCTCGGGTTTTGGCCGCCCGCATGAAGGCTGATGGCGTGCAGCAACCACGGCCTGAGTACCGTCTGCTTTTCATGATCTGGTTCAGTCCATTTGTGGCATTTGGTCTTTTCGTTTATGGTTGGACTGCATACTACCAGGTTCATTGGATCGTACCGATCATAGGTACGTCCCTAATGGGTTTCGGGGCCTATTTTGTGATCGTAAGTTGCTTGATTTCTTCCCTTGTTTTTTGATTCCTGATTTTTCTTTCGCATGATTACTGACAAAGGGTTTTACCACGCTTAGATGCCTGCGCAACTGTACTTGGTGGATGTGTTTGGCTCAGAGGCTGCCGCATCAGCACTCGGTGCCAACAATCTACTGCGTTACATTTCTAGTACATTCCTTCCCCTCGCGGGGCCAAGTATGTACAAGACTTTGAATTATGGGTGGGGGAACTCATTACTCGGGTTCCTTGCACTGGCCTTCCTTCCAGGTCCCATTCTCTTTTACAAGTATGGTGAGCGACTACGGGCTAATACGAAGATGGCGCTCTAACCTGGGCCACCATGGTGGTTCCCGAGTACCTGCCAAGAGACCCCTCCCCCCTCCCTTCCTGCAGATCTTTGATATTTTAATATTGTCTTGAAGAACTTTTTTTCTTTTTCTTGAATAGATCCAGCATACACAGTAATCATTCATCCATAGTGCTTATACTACTTATAGCCTAGTGCGCTGGGTAAAGCTCTCGAATTGACTCCATTCACTCCCTCGAACTACCGAGTAAGCATAAAGAGACAGTTACTGATAGTACTATCATAGGATTTCTACAGTGTTTTCGGGGTCTTTATCGAACACCCCAATCACAGTGCCAGCATTTGTAATATTTTCTACAACCTTGAATGCCTTCGTTTGTCACCATTTGAGGAATATGTGCAGTGTTTCAGCTCAATAAAATGCTAATTAACTAACAATTAAGCCGGCCTCGCCAAGCTTCACAAGCAACGAGCCCCCACTGAAGTGGGTCGTTGAAGCGATACCCCTGGGCATCGTGACTTCACCTGGACACGCTAATGCGGTCTGAAACTGAAGCTTATCACGCCCTGGTATGTTCCAACGGACGTAGTGCGGACGCTAGTCCGATCGCTTACGGGTCGATAGGAGCTTTTTTTCTGTTTTTGTTTCTCCCCCCCGCCCCCCCCCCCCCCCCCCCCCCCCCCCCCCCCCCCCCCCCGCCCGCCCCCCCCCCCCCCCCCCCCCCCCCCCCCCCCCCCCCCCCCCCCCCCCCCCCA